TTCTAATGGCTTCATCTAAGCGTGCTTTTTTTTTTTTTAAAACTGTTACTAAAGTCATGTGCTGCCTCCCAGTGGAGAGATTGCACAATGCACAGAGAAAAAGGCTTTAGGATATAAATCGGTACACTCATTTATTTTTTCTCCATTCTTTCAACAACGATTTATTGTCTATATTATGGCCAGTGGGAAGTATTAGTCATATAAACACAATCCATGGCACCTGTGATGGAGAAACGTAACGGAGAATACGAGGCGAAGTGGATGCCTGGCCTGTACACTGCGTGGGAGCACCATAGCTGAGCACTGCCTCTGGCTTCTGGCTCCACCTTCCAGTCCATGCAAACGCAGGGAGGCAGCAGTGATGCCCGAAGTCACTGTACTGACATCACAGCTCCATCCCAGCTTTAATCCCAGTCCATTGCTAGCATTGTGACTGAAGCAGGAGATTGAAGGTCTTGCTCTATCGAATACGTTTAAAAGGGAAAGCACGGAAACCTCCTCAGTTGGGAATTTTCTATGGGTGTTTTTGTGACTGTCATGCCCAAGCACAAAAGTATACTATCATCTTCACCAGTACGTGGTATTAGTAGTCTGGTAAGGTAGCCTATGTTTGTGGCCGTTAAAGCAAATCTATATTTTTATGTTATTGGAGGTATTTTATTTACTTGTAATCTGTTACTAATAATTGGAAAGTTATAATGGAAACAAAAACTGAGAGAACATGTTTAAAATCAGATTATAAATGAGGTGTTCTTTTGATATACATTTTTCATGAGTAGGAATGGTTTTGAAACACAAAGAATAAAGGACACAACCACACTCTGATGTGTGAATATAAGAATGGTGATTGACAAAAGACAAGTTGAGGATATGAATAAAATATCTGACCTAATTTCTGAGCTAACGTTTATCCAAAGGATGAGGCAGTTGTCAGGGACAACCTATACAGCTTGGTTTGTATCCGTGCTTGGGTTCAGAGTTGCATGACCCCTTGGCAACCGCAGGAGGGCGCACATCATGGGAGGAACCTGACTTTTCCTCCCTGGAGTCAGGAAGCTTGCTTGCTACACAATGCATCAAAAAGTCTACAATTTTCCCATTTATAAAATAAACAAGGATAATAAAAATATCTTCTTTATTCAACCCATAGGTTTTTAAGAATGAGATATGCAAGAATACTGCATGTGAAATGGCTTAAAAATTTATAAGAAATGACTGTTGTAATTTTATTTAGCAACAATACCTTTTTAGGTTTCCTAAGTTTCTCTCTCATTGTGGGGCAGCTGAACCTGAGTCAGATCTTGTTGGGGACCTTGGTTTGATAAAAATGGAAGCATAAAATATTCCCTAGCTCTGATTTTTTAGCCTTTATCCATTTTCTGTCAAAATGAGGAATCAGGCCTGACCATGTCATTGTTAACTGCCCATGAGTAGCTCACTGCACGTTAGGGTGGACTCGTTAAAATCATTAATTGAAAATTACTTATTTACTGTCATGTCCACCAGATTCTAAGTTACACAAGAGCAGGGCTTGTTTCTGTGTAATTCACCAACCCAGCCCAGTGCTTGGAGTATATTCTGCCCAACAAACACTTCAATGAAAACAATGAAATGAAAACAGTGGTTTCTATTTTGTTCATTTTTTGTTGGAAAAGCCTAATCTATTGAGTAAAAGCCTATAAGGTGATTCAGTTTTCTTAAAAAATGAACTTCTTAAGTTTAGAATTCTACAGTTAGTCACCTTTATATGCCTAACAAGTAGTACAAGCTCAGACAATACTGAATAAATTCACAAGTGAATGAAATGCACATAGTGTGGCCAGCCTGGGCAGCGGCAGGATCTATACAAAAATTCTGACAGCACAGCAATACAGTAATTTTGGTTTTAGACAAAGGACTGCAGTTCCCAACTTTAGCCTTGACCTACTGGAGAGACCAGCTGCCTCAGAGATAATAGCCTGGAAATCAGGTTACATTATCCTGAGAAAGTAACTTGACCTCATGGCTTCTGTTTCCACTTTAAGAACAGAAGAAACACGCAACTGGTCAAGCCTGCTCAAAGTCAGAGCTTCCCCCATGAAACACCTGCCCCTATCCAGCCATTGGAGACAAGGTTCTGCAACTATGTAGAGTGCTTTCATTCAGGCAAATTGATCACGGATGGTCAATTTTTATGGAATGAAAACACTTGAAAACTAAACAAAAACCCCATTTTGCAACTTGCTAATTCCACAGTTTTGGAGTTCCAACTTCTTTAAGCCTCTATCTTCACTTATAAAATGAGGAAGACAATAAGACCTATCTTTATAAAGCAGAAGGCTGCGAATGTTCTGTAAAAGATCGAAGAGCAGAGAGTCGTGATTTTACAGCTCCTGTAGTTTCTGCTACAACTATTCCACGTTGCCATTTTAGTATCCAACTAGCCACAGACAGTGCATGAACAGGAAGGCGTGGTTGTGTTCTAGCACACTTTAACCTATGGATACTTCATTTTTCCTTTTATGAAACATAAAAAAAGATTGCAGGGACAAAATAATAGGAAGATTTAATTCAGAATACATTTATCAGTGATGATATTGAGCATATTTCCTTTCACAACTGAGAAGACCCTTCGGGTTATCTGTTATGCCTAGGGACCATGGTTAAAAATTACAACACTGGAAGGCTGTTAACACAGATACCAAAACGGTAGGGTTGAATCTGTGCTGATTTTAGACTTCCTTCAAGAAACAGCAGAGTTTCCACCAGGTCCTTCACTCCCCCTTGAAAGCTTCAGTCTTTTCACAATGAAACAGGCTGTTGTCTACCCGAGAGACGCCATTAGTGCTGGAGCGTTTAAATGAGACCCTGTGTTACGTGCTTCATCCTGTCGGCCTTAGTCTTGTCACAAAATGGTTCTGAACTAGCTATATAATTTTAAGATTTATTTATTTGTATTGGAAAGGCAGGTTTAACGAAAGAAGGAGATATAGAAAGATCTTCCATCTGTTGGTTTACTCTTCAAATGGTCACAAGGGCAGAGCTGAGTTGAGCTGAGCTGAGGCCAAGAGCCAGAAGTTTCTTCCCGGTCTCCTATATGGGTGCAGGGTCCCCAAGACTTGGGTCATCCTCTGCTGCCATAAACTGGATGGGAAGTGGAATATTTGGGACATGAACCAGTGCTCAGATGGTATGCTGGTGCTTACAGGTGGAGGATTATCACATTGAGACATTGTACTGGCCCTGAACTAGTTTTCAAATTAAAGGTGTGTGTGTTTTTTGCATAAAATATCATGATTTCAAAACAATGCTTGCGTTTTATTGTCACTTATCTTTCGTAATGTTGAAGGAGAATCACCCATTCAGTGTGTCTGCAGAGAGAGAAGGCCGACGATGGAGCATGGATAAGATCAAGAAAAGATAGCAAGCTCCTAAATGGCCTCTGCGTTGCATGGGGCCTTGGAGGCTGCTCCTTTGCTATTGCAGAAAAAAAGTACAAAGCTTTCGAAAATTCAGAACAGAAATGATGCTCACTTAAATGAAGTTGCTAGTAAAAAATTTAGTCAAATGTGTTGGGAAAAGCATATTTGTTTTTCTGTTATTTTCATTTTTGTATAATAATCAGCAATCGAATGATCTCTAATTGTTTAAACTTGGCCAACTTCAGATTCCATATTCCATAATTCCATAAATTATGTAATCAGAATGATAGTTTAGTTTTTGGATAAAAGCTCTTTTAATTTATTTTAATTTAGATTTTATCAGTTATGTACATTCGTTTTACAGTATTTTTAGAAAAATAAGCTGAATGCAAGCCAATAATTATTCTTAAATGATTTTAAAATAATTTGTTCACTTAATTATAGGAATTAGAAGCCAGAATTACAGTCAGTAGTCAATTATTCTCCCCCCTTTACTTGTGCTATGTGTTGGGATTGTGTCTCGTTTTTATTCAATTTAAAATGTGTTTAAGAGGGAGATTATGATCCAAATCCACAGGCTGCCAGGACTGGAATGTGGAATTGTAAATAAGAACATGAGATACTCTGAGAATAGGAAGATTTTGTTTCCATAATGCTAATTATTCCAGTTCTTCTAATCTCTCCAAACAGGAAAGTTAACATACCACATCCTTCAATCTTATGAAGACTCTTGAGAAAGCCTATAAGTTAGCTGACCATTACATCATTTTCTTTCCCATAGCAGTTAGAAAGGACTGTCACAAATGTATGAAATATTGACCTACCTCTGTAGAAGAGCACATACAACATGCAGTAAGAGCCAAGAACTGTACTTAATACCCTTTGGCCCGCTGATAATGGAAGTGCCCGAGCAAGGACTTAGTACATAGTGAAAACAGCAGCAAGCATTGGGTGCAGCAGTTAACATGCCTGTGTGGGATGTGCACACCCCATAACGACACGGTTGAGTTCAAGTCCCTGCTCCACCTCCAATTCCAGTTCCCACTCCGATCGGGTGCCGGGTCCCTCCCTGCTCTCCATGTGGGAGACAGAGACTGGATTTTCGGCTTTCTACTTTTGACTAGCTTGGTTCTCAGCTCTTAAGGGCATTTGGGGAGTGAACCAACAAATGGACAATCATTCTCCCCTTCCTTTGCTTTGTGTGTGTGTGTGTGTGTGTGTGTGTGTTTCTCTGTAGCTTGCATTTTCAAACACATGGATTTTCAAGAAGGATTGTACTCACCAAGAATGTAAAAACTGCATGGTGATACACTATGGATAAACAGAATTCAAAAGAGGCTTGAGTGGTCTACACAGATGTGTTTCTTTGAGTATTAAATCTTTCTGGATAGTCTTTGAAATAGTGTAAAAAATGTTGCTAGAATCAACTCATCACTTACTGGCTCTTTTTGATTTGGCCCCTAAAGATGATTTGAACTTTGTCATTGCCTATTTTGTTCTCTATTATGTCCCCAAGGAAACTTTTTGCTCTCCTGATAAATACCATCTACTTGCTTATTCCATAACTGAATTGAAATCTTCACAGATTGGGTTACTCACTCTTTGTTGCGCCCATGAATATCCTTCCGCCGGAACTCGTGACTACTTATAGAGGACATACTCCCCCTTTTCCTCAATGAATGAGCTGCTTTGTCTTCAGTAATTTTCGACATTATTATAACCTATGGGAAACTGTCATAAAATAACAAAAGACGGATTTGAAAACACTTAGTATATCAGAGCCTTGTCCCCAATGAAGTCAGCACTTTTCCTACAGTCTTTGCATAGAAAAATGGAATTTCCTCAAGAGCAATACGGAGTGCATGGTCTGGTCACTGTAACCAGAAATGCAACTCTCAGAAGTTTTATTTATGTTGTATTGTACTTAATTCATGTAAGCAGATAATAAGCTATGACAAAAATGCTAGTGAGAATGTCATGGAGAAAGAATAAGTACATACAAGAAGCTATCTCATACCAGAGATCAATTGTTTTCATTTGCCCACTTATGTTTGATCTTGATAAAACATTGCTAATTAATATTTGTTGTCACTGTGAATTTATAAATTTCCCCAAGAGCTTCCGTCTTCCCAATCAATAGTGATTTACTTTGTAAACAGCAAATAGGAATTAACCATTTTGAAAATATTTATTTATTTGACAGGAAGAGTGTGAAAGAGAGAAAAAGCTCTCATTTCCTGAATACTGGCAAAGCTGACACCGGGCCATCAAAACCAGGTATCCAATCTAGGTCTCCCAAGAGGGTGGCTAGGACCCAATCAACTGAGCCATGACTGCTAGCTCTCAGGGTCTGTCTCAGCAAGACGCAGGAATTGGGAGCCAGAGCTGGGAAAAATATCTGGCACTTTGATGTGTATCTTATAGGATGAGCCAGAGGCTGACGCTGTGGCCTAGTTAGTAAAGCTGTGATCTACAGGGCAGCATCCCTCATGTGCACCTGTTTGTGTCCCAGCTGCTCCCTGCTAAATGCCTAGGAAAGCAACGGAAGATGGCCCAAGTGTTTAGCCCCCTGCATCAGCGTAAGAGACCCAGATTAACCTTCTGGGTCCTGACTCTTGGTTTGGGTCTAGGCCAGTCCCAGATGCTGCAGCCATTTGGAAAGTAAACTAGCAGAAGAAAGATTAAGAGAGAGAGAGAGAGAGAGAGAAAGAGAGAGAGAGAACCAGGGCCAAACCTCAAGATTCAGTGTCTAGCTCAGTAACTTATTGGAAAATCTACATGCTTTTCATCAATATTTATCGACAAGCTGGTGATAACAATTGGACTTGCAGAAGTTGGGCTAAAATTTTAATCTCCTTTAAGTCATCCACCACCTGTACATCCGAAAGCCCTAGCGGGGAGCTCTGTGCTACATGCCCACAGAACTAAAACCCAGAGATCCTCGAGGGGGCAGGGTTGAAAAGAACGCCACCAGAAACTCCAACCTCGGTGACTGGCAGAGAGATGGGCAAAGGTCTCAAAGGGCCCACCTATGGGGCAGAGGGATTGTGCGCTGGAGGGAGGTGGTGGAATGGGAGCCTGAGCATCCCTGGCGTGCCTGAGTCTCCCCGTGCACTCACCTGTGTATATCAAGAATGCGTGTGCCTGTGGGCTGAGGATGCTCAGTGTCAGCAAGTGGCTCATTGAGCCGCTCTAAGTCCTGTGGACCAACCTCAGCCTTTGCAGGGACTTCAGAGGCTGCCCTGCAGGCAGTTTAGGAAGGTCCCAGAAAGTCCGTTTGCGACTGGAGCTGCTGCGACTCCAGGAGTTGACCCCTCTGCCTGTGTATCTGTCTTGGACAGCGCCCAGGAAGGCCCTCTAAGCAGGTGGATTAGGGAACCACTTCCTGTCTCCATACTTTTTGTTATTTGAGGGTGGGAGGAGGCTAGGGCAAACCGCCAAGGTTGCCAGTGTCTCAACGCAGGGCGGCTCCCACCCCAGTCCGGCTTCTCAGCTTACCTAAAACAGGGCGGTAGCGTTGAGAAAGTTCCTCCACTTCTGGCTTGTTCCGTGCAGCCAGCGGCGGTGTGGCTCGCGTCTCCCGGCCCCGGTGGGCTCTGCCTGCAGCTTCTGCTCCCTGCCTGGACTTCGCGGCGCGTCTCCAGGGTTACTTACTCAAACATCGCCCTCGGCCCGCCCCCGCCCCCTCCCCTGGTCTCTCCTTGGTCCTTTGGGCTTCCCTAAGGATGTAGTGGAGGGGTTCCTTCCTGACCTTGTTATGTCCCGGGTTTGCAGAGAGCTGTAGAACCGGTCCCTTTTACAGTCAGGAGAACATCGGGAAGTAAAGATGCAGCCTCCAGGGCGCCTACATCACAATCCCTTTTGCACAAATTTCAGGCGCAGAAATGGGAAGAGTGCCTCGTCCTAGGAGTTGAAATCGCAGATACAAAGACAAAGGAAACCAGCACCTGCCCTTCCCTGAACCCCAAGCCTGGTTCCATCTACCCCTCACACAGCGTAGACCACGGGGAGTACTCCTGTGGGTAATGCCTGCTCTTCCGAAATTGAGATTTTCGGATGTTAAGTGTTAAGACCCAGGACCCCTGGGGCGCATGATCTTGACTTCCAAGAAGCAGACAGGTAAAGCTCCTCTAGCTCATTAAAGCTTAGGAAGGCTTGAAATGGAAGCTGTTTGGCTTGAGAATGCACCTGACCCAATTAGTCGAACCTTCTTCGTCCTTTGAAAGAAATCTTTTTGTAAACCCATGGCCTTTCCCAGACCAAAAGCCAACAAAGCAAACCCGCCCAGAGAGCCTTTTGTAGTCACGGGGTGGATGCAGTTCAGTGCTCAGGCGCTGAGTCTCCAGCGTGGCCCTTGGTGAGTGTAGCACTAGTGTTCCTGACAGGAGAACAGCACTGGGATTCCAGAAGGACACACTACTGGATGATAATGGAAGAGCAGCATTCAAGTTTTCTAGCTCAGTCCAACTCTTACTGGCAAAAAGGTAAGAACAGCCGAAAATGGCATATTTAGTGTGAACTTGCCAGAGTCCAGCTCCAGCTGAGTTCGGAGCTCGAGAAGGGTGCGTGAAGTCAGCGATAAAGAAAGACACAGACACTGTCACTTGGTGCCTTCTAGCTTGAGCTCAAGAAGAAGCTTCCTTTTTATTTACTTAGGCATATCACAAGCCTCTGCACAATCGTTTGATTGCTCTATTTTTACTTCATGACTAAGTGGGTATGCACAGATGTTTCATTATTTTATTTTTTACTTCATGGTCAACCAGATGCTCTTAAAGATAATTCTGTAAGTTACTATAATCAGTTTCTTTAAAGCAAGCCGGTATTCATTCTTCAGAAGTAGCCATTAGGTGACAGCCAGAACTCCAAGGCCAAGGCACAGATGGTTGCCTACTAACCAGTAAAACATTCTTACTACATTTTATTTTCACAACTTATCTATCACTTAGTGGGAGAAAAACATCAAAAGAGAAAAAAAATTAAGATCTAAGACAAAAAGTTTCAAATATTAAATCCCCCTGCAACTGTAGGCTCTACAACCTCATAAACAATCAAACAATAATCAAAAGTATATCTCTATGATGTTAATAAAATCACCCTATATTTCCTCTAGTTAAAAAATTATGAAAGTGGTTAAAACAGCTACATTTTCTATACTCCAAAGAAACTGCAAAGACACACTAGCCTTTGAGATAACAATAACTATATTTATTGCCATAGCAGTTTCAGCTCTCACTCCCATCACTTGCACTAATGTTTAGGATATTTTCAAGCCCCTTCCCAGAAGGTGTGCTGCATGTCTGGGCCAGATTCTCAGGCAATGGTTAAGTACCCAATAAAGTGTCCAGAAATGGCTCAGGCTTAATTGTGCTCCTGTGTGTAAATTGTCAAAGGCCCACTCACCAAGACATTATCAGTGACATTAACTCTCAAGCTCTCATCGGTTACAAAAACCATCTCACAGGGGCAAACAACAATGCCTCAATAGATTACAGAATTCTTAGTGGGGTGCTTGAGTGTCCATGCAAGCAGGGGGTGAGACTGCGTTAAGGTGGTCAGAGAGACATCTGCTGGGCCCTGCCAAACAGCTGGAAGCTCCCCCGGGCCCTGCCAAGCAGGGGAGTTGTTCTCTTCACATCTTCGTGCCATCCACACCTATTGTATGGACCCCAGCAACTGGCAAAAAGGTAAGAACAGCCGAAGATGGTCTATTTACTGTGAACTAGATGGGAACTGCTAAGGGGTTGGTTAATATTACCTCATTGAACTTACTCCATGACTGTGATACTGAAGAGATGTCTCCATCTTCTTTTTTAAGATAAAGAGGGAAAATAACATGATCAGGTTTGTAATGAAATTACAGCCAAGGGATTTATTTGACTTCAAAGGTTTGCTGTTTGCCATACTTTTGATCAATCATTCCTACACTGAACATGGAATCATGTTTTTCCAGAAATGTGGGTGTGACGTCCAGAGGCTAAACAATAAAAGAGGTTCACAACTTAGTTTATTTTTATAGTTCTCATTTATTTTCCAGCAAAAAAAATCATCACATTTCAATAACAACTTACATATATAATTAAACTTCTTTTGAAATGGGAACCCAGTTTGAAGTAACATGTCATGATCAACAATTGCATATTCAGGATTTTGTGAAATGGGTGTTTGGGAAACTTACAAAGGAAAAACATTTATAAAAACCATTATTTACAAAACAGTGGTATCCACGCTTTTCATAACTTATAAGGCATGTAACGTTAAGATGATCTCATGATGCCCTTCAGCGAGCCAGTGCCATGCATTGACGCCGTTTGTCGCTCTGAGAGCTGTGTTGGCAGCCCAGAAGGAACAGCCTCAACATCCAGTGCTGCTTTTCTTGTCACCAGCAGAGTAAAGTTTACTCTGTTTCAGGGGACGTGGAGCGAACAAAAGGTCAGGAATCATTCTGACTAAATTTAACTAACTTGAGTACTGTAATTCACAATCCCTTTAATAAATAGCTTATGCCCAAGGAATGTTGTGAAATTCTATACTCAGCATGAACTCAAAGAAATTCAGTCTACTTTTACTAGACAGGTTATTGGAAACTCTGAACAAAGCTACCACAAAAACAAAATAAAGGACACACTGACGAGATTTTCTTGGACTGAATTTCATGCCTTTAGAGACACAAATTTCTTTGAGATCCCCTTTTCTCAATTTCTCTTATTGTTAAAGTACATGTTTAAAAAAGTGAATGCTTTACATTGCCTCTTTAGGATGAAGGCTAACATTAAACCATTTCCTTCATAGGAATCTTTTCCTATAGAAGCAACAATTTTGTTGTTTTTGTTTTTATATTGCAAACTAGTAGTGTTGAAGCAGCTTAAAAACCCAGTTACTGCCTGACCTGTTGTGAAACTCCGCTCACAGACAGGATTCGCATATCACCCTATGAACACTTGGATTTTTGAAGAAAAAGTATTCAGCGGAAATTTACCATTCTCTTAGAAAGAGAGGAAGAGAGAGAAAGGAGAGGGCGGGGATGAACCACATAGGAGTCAATCTCATATCCATTTCCCAAAGCAAGATTATCAACTTGCAAAATCAAGACAGTTGTAAGAATTATCATCCCAACATTTCGTCACAAAAATTAGAAATCTGGCTTTGGATCTTGAGATGGTGATCCTTGTAATAGTCATTTGGTGTTTCACTTAAAATAGCTTGAAATAATGATGTATGAATAACACTGAATATCTGCTTTGTGAGGAAGTCACTGAAGTGTTAGGAAACCAAGTGAGTGAGTTGAATTCGACATTTGCCTGAGACATTCGTTTGATGGAACATTTAACACGATTGATGGCTCATGATATATTAGGCCGATTCAAAAGCTTTGGGTAGATAAAAAATTATACTGTGGTTAGAGAAAAGTAATATTACTTTTCATCTATATGATAAAATATACTCAATAAAATTTTTAAAAGAAATATTGTTAATTTTGCTTAAAAACAATTGATTTGTGAAATAAAGCAAAGCAAAAAGCAGGAACCAAAAAACTGAAATGCTTGCTAAGATGATGCAGAGTGCTGCGGAATGCACGTTAAACAGTACATTGCTCCTTGCTGTAATTATTTCTCACGTACTTTCTAGCAAGCTTATGTAAAAATATTCTCACTATTGTTCTACCTTGACTCAGTTTCTTAAAGTTAGTAAATGAAATATTACTGAAGAGTGTTCACTGTCATTAATTCTACTCGGTAACATCTTGGAACACCTTCAACAAATAAGGGTTTGATGTCATCAGTGCAGGCCTTTAAGACAATACTTAAAAGATTAGAATAATGTCATTGCTTTGAGTATTTTAATACTCACTGAAATACACTAGCAAAGCTTAAAATAGGTAATAACTGATTTGAAATGACAAATATCATGTTAATGTTCAAACACAATCCCAGAAGCATCTTTTGAAATCGTCCATCATTATATTATTTACAGATATTCACAGATGCATAAACTTGCTTTAAATGAAAAATTTCCAAAGTTTTGTAAAAGTACTCTTAGAAAGAAGGAAGGTCGTTTCCTGATATATTTACTTCAAGTTTCAATAAAATGCAAACCATGTTCAAAGCTTGAGAACAATGATATAATGTCATTTGCCCTCAGACCATAATGCACATTTACCAGATCTAGTAGAAAGGAAAAATATTTTGAAAATATTGTGTTAATGACCCAAATATATTTCTTTTCTTTTAAATTGTAAGGGATATTAAAAATATATTTGCTTTTGTTGAAACATCTTATCTCACAAAGTTAAAGATGTATTCAGAACAGGCAAAGATCTACTCTAGCGATGGAGGTATGCAATCAGAAATACTATAAATTGAAGAAAATAACATTAGAAGTTGAACCTATGGAGAATAAATCATTGTACTCATACTGAATGTCAACACCAAGGAGACTTTCTGTCATAGAAATACCTATATAAATAGAAATTTAATATTAAATGTAAACGTCAATCAAGAGATTTTACCATGGTCAAGTTCTTGTTGATTTTACCATGGTCAGCATCAACATTCTTTCATTATAGACACTTAGAATGCAAATACATATTAAAATTGCAACTCTTATCTCCAGAAGATGATAATATCAGAACAATGATACAAGATACAGGTTAATTTTTTTTTAATTCTTTGTTGTTTTTTAACATTTGGAGTCTTTTGTGATGTGATCCAATGTCACTTTTCCTCTAAACATTCTATGGACAAAAAACGCAAATGGTAGCCATATTTAACTCATAGATGAAAGAAAGGCATTTAGATACTGTCCTGCAAATTGGAAGAAAAAAAAAAACTTGAAGGAGCAGACAAAATAGGCCCTTAAGGGAAATGCATGCAGCGAAGTGACAGAGTAGGTCAGCCAAATTATTTTTTGGTCAATTTGCATCAGCAATTTACTAGACGCATTCCATAGAAATTTCATGGCTAGTTATCTTAACCTTTTATGAATCTCATATGAAGTTTTTAAAAATCATGTTGTCACTTAAAAAAGTATAATGAGAAAGCCATGTGTGATAAAATGAATATATTGAATAGAATGGTGCTTGATTCAAGTGACTAGCTTCTTGGGAAAGAGAAAATCTAAGCACGGACATATCAGCACACTAATCTCTCCCATGGCTAGCTGCACATTTTATTGTATCATTCAACCTTAATTAACAGTCTAGGATTATTTTGAAAAAAAAAATAAAACAAATGATAGTGCAACTGGTTTGGAATGAAACTAATCCATGCATAGAGTCCGTAGCCTACAACACTAGTCAAGCCACAGTTTAGTCCTTCTCTTGCAAAGGAGGAGACATTTATTCGGACTTTGATCTGGAGTGACTCAAGCTTCCAGCCACCTATTGCTTGCAGTCTTTTAAGTCATTTCAGGAGAGTATGGAAATCTGCATATGAGAATGCGTTTCAAACTGCTCCAAGACTGAGATAGCATAACTAAACAACTCTAAAAAGAAGACAAAGATTTTCCTGCAAAAATTTCTCAGCCTTTTTTAAGACAAGAAGTCAAGTGTATGGAATGAAAAATAAGCCCACTAAAAAATGGTTTTCAGTTTGGACTTTAATGCTTAAAATCTGATGTGATGTCAGAACTTTAAAAAGTCTTAGAGACAGTACCAGAAATTTTCAAATTCTGAGTGCTTATCAAAATATGTATTCCTTATCCCATACCTAGAGATTTATCATTTAATACAAGCTTAATGAGGCCAGCTGCATTATACGTTTAGGGTATACAGTAGTTTTTTCTTATCAAAATCATTGACCTCTTAATAAATAACAATACAAGTGGTTTAGGATTCATAACTAAAAAACATTGTTTTTTTTTTTTTTTCTCAACAGTTGTGTTACTACAATTATCCTTAATGTCATACTAATTTTTTCATACGGTCTTTGCTTGGCATTCCTAGAGAGTAAAATGTAATGGGAGATGTTCTCACAATGGGCAAAGCAAAACAAATTAATGTGCTCCCTCTTCAGTCAAAATAACTAGGTTAGTAACTTTCAGTTGTGGTTAACAAATTGATTCTATCTATGCCTCAATATCATTATTGAATAAAATAGGAAATGAAGAGTAGCTACAAATTTGGAATGGACACAAGGATTTCAAAGTGAACTGAAAACTGTCATGACTGATACATGGTAAGGACTTAAGCATATGAGAGTACTGTAAAAATTAATAAGAAAATGATCCAGCTCCCTGCCTGTGGCCTCCGAAAGCAGTAGAGGACAGCCCAAACCTTTGGGATCCTGCGCTGGCCTGGGAAGCCTGGAAGAGACTCTTGGCTCCTGGCTTCAGACCAGCTCAACTCCGGCCACTTGGGTAGTAAACTAGTTGGTGAGAACCCTTTCTCTCTGTGAAATCTGCTTTTCCAGTAAAAATAAATAAATCTTAAAAACATTTCATGGAAAAATGGAATTAAAAGAAAATGTATATTTTTGATGAACTTTTTGAAAATCTCTTGCATACCATTTTTTTTTTTTATCAAGTACTATGTCTGAGAAAGTTTGTTATAAAAATTCAGAAGGTGGTTTGAGTAAAGTAGAATCATGGCACTTTAGAGCTGACAGATATGGAGCTCCTAAAAATCCATGCATAGCTTTTTTCATTATACACATTTTAAAGGTCCTTCATGTACAAGAATATCAAAATGTTTTGCAGCGCAATAAACTTATCTTTCAGATTCATTTTCTATGAGCCTTTTGAAATAAACTGGTAAAAACCGTGCTGTAGGAGCTTGGATTTAAAATGCTGGAAAAAGCTGCCCCTTCATGGCTGTGAGATGTTTTACCTAATGGGATTCCCTATGCGATGTACTGGGAAAAAAAAAAAATCATGCTATTAAGAAACATTTGAAAGTCACTGGCAATCCTAATCCCTTATTTCAAAGATTAATAACTGAAAAGAATTTATAACTTGTCCAGAGTCTTACAGCAGAGGTTAGCAGCTAATGTAGTTCCCTGTTTGTTTGAAAACAAGGTTTAAGAATGGAAATATGGGTCATTAAGGCTCTAACATTGCACATTAAGATGAATAAAAATATACAAAACCAAAAAGAATATTTGCCATTTGACTTCCTGAGGGACTCTGAGTAACCACTCAAACTCATTTAGAACATGGGTATCTTTTTTATAGGTGAAAAATAGTCAGATAACATACAGTGAATTTTCATTCCGGATGTAGATGTAGAGAAGGCTTCAACTTTAAAATTAATTAAATTATAATTAAAATCAATTAAAGTTATAACTATAATGACAGCCATGATAAAATCAAGTTAACAAAATTTACATTTAAAAGCTTCATGAAAATGTGCAGTTTATTTAAAAGAACACATTTTTCATGTTGTTAAAATAAAGCCATACCATTCCTACTTTCTTTCTTGCTACAGCAGAAATGTTTTTAGTCATAATGTTCAAAAAATAGTATTCTAGTCAACTAGAACTCTTTCTTTTTGTTTTAACCCTGGTACTGAAAAATTGTCTTAATATAACCCTGCTCCACTTGGTTTTAACTTATGATGCTAGAATAAACCTGACTTTAACATATTTTTGATAATTGAGACTCTTGGGTCATTTTCCACAACATAAATTCTTATTCTACAGTACTGTGCTTGTAGAAATAACAGAAGAATATTACCAACAAGATTTAAAAAAAAAAACAAAGCAAATCACCCAAATCCAAATCCCTGATATGAACTAATTGTATTATTATCTGATGTATTTTTGAAAGGACAAATTTATACTCTCTACTGAGGTTTGTACATTGTTTCATAAAGATCAATGAAGGGTCATGGGATTTCTTCATAGCTTCAAATTTAGTCTCTGGAAACATTTGAATAAAGGTAGAGATTAATATAATTTATCTTCTCAGTTACATTTTCACAATATCAATGGAACTATTCTTTGGGGAAAAAAAAGCTTTGCATTTCATTATTTAGTCCATATATATATTGTGTATATATATATATGTATGTATATATACAAAATAAAATATGAGCAAGACATGAGAACCAGTAACATTTACACATATTTAAATGCTTTATGTTAATTTTCTTTATTAACTTGTCTACTTAAAGACACATTTTTGTATTAGCATGCTGGGTTAATATCAATTTTTTGATAATTACTCTCCATTGGTTTTGGTGTTCTAAATTTCTCCATGTCTTGAGAGTTTTAAAATTTTGCACTTTCTACTTTAATCTCCAAATCAAATTGAGTATCTTTACTTAAAATGGTATACTAGTTTGTTAAAAATTTTTTTCAATGTTAGACAGCTATAGGCAAGTGATTAAGAGCTTGTTTCAATGGTAAGAATTCTTCTAGAATAAAACAGATATTTTTGAGCATTCTCTCAGTAGCAAGCACTGATCGAGGAGTACAAATATTTATTTAAAAATTTCCACTATAAACAATTATCAGTCATTTAATTTTAAAAATAAGACTTAAAAAAATTCAGATTCTAAAATTTAAAGGGGCTAAGGATTCTTTGTTAAGTCTGAATCGATAAAAAATGAAATTTAACAGCTAATGATAAACATAACAACTTAATGATTATACTTAATAGTATAATCTTGAATAGAAATTGGAATATATTCAAAATAAGTGCTATGATTTAAAGGAAGGCCATTTTTTCATATTTTAATGAGGGAACATTTAACAAGTTCTGTTTTAATTTCTGTATTGTGGAGACAGACTAACTGGTTTTTAGAGCATCTTGAAACAAGAAAATGACAGATTTTTGACAACTCTCCTTTTGATTCTCCAAGAATGGCAAAGTTGTACAGGTTTATATAATGGACCCTAATCATCCAAAAGGAAATTTATTGCACAATAATGTGAAGATAACTGCATTTATAAAGCTTATTTTTTTTTTCCTTTCTCAGTGACACAAATGATGATAATTAAAACTTTCTAGTTTTAAATAAGGGACTGAAATTTTGCTTCTGAGACGTGTAGTCTCAATGTGTTTATGCCTATGGGCTAAGAGGAAGACGTGAGAAGTCACCCCCATGCCGGGTGAGAGAGACCATCTATTCAGAGTAGTTGTGCAAAAGTCACTAGCCAGTTCAACTATGGAAAGTTTTGAAATCACGATTTTGGTTTTGTTTAACTGACTATTCAGCAGTTTCCACTCTGACAAAACTGTAGGGAGAGAGGGAAATAGTTAAGACTTCAACATCTCCTTTACTTTTGATTATAATTTAATATACTTAAACTTTAAATATGAATTGCTTTTCCTTTTTACACAAGTTATAAAAATAAGAGGCCCTGTTTACACAGTTGCATTTTTATGAAATTTGCAGTTTGAAAAAAAAGCTTTTTAAAAAGTGGTAATTAATGCTGTTCTTCGAATATGCTATAACCTTAGAATTATTTTTTGAAATAGTTTTCTGAATTTCACCCATTAAACATCTGAAGATAAAAGTTTTATTTAGCACTAGACTAAAACACACTAAGGACTGAAGAAATGTAAGTTTGCTTTTTCTTCTGTTTGCATATACATTTCTTTATATGTGGCACCCCCTTTATGACAGCTATCATTATTATATTTAAATTTTATATATTGACAAAATGCAATCTACCTCTGTAAGCATTGTGCCGTTCAACAGTACTGCTATTAAATTTACATACCACAGTTTAAATTACATCCTTTTCAGGAATGGTAAAATGCTAAAACTCAAAGATATAACTGCCTTACTGGAATGAGAGTACAATTTACAAATACAATAATTACATTTTAAAACCATTAACAATATTACACCTAGAAGTAAATACTGTAGGATTGGTCATCATGGTGTGTGTGAGGGAAACCATTGCTGAACACCACTGACTTCTGAGCTGGAAGATCCCAGGTGCAGGTCTTGGTTTCGTTTCATCAAACCAAAACGAAAACCTGTTTCTCACACAATAGTTCTTAATTATATAAATCCTTCAAATCTTGCATAAGATTTTATTAGTTATCTGCCAAGTATTTCCCTGAAAAAAAACACACACACACACACACACTCAACATATTAAATGGTTATCTGCAGGCCAATAATGTGAGTTACAGGAGTAACATTTGACTTCTTTCTGCTATATATTTAGGAGCCAACTATGCACACTTCAGGGGTGCAAACGAAGATTATTTTCAGTTTATAGATCAGGCAGCTGCCTTTTCGCATGCTAATAGGTCCATAATTCACAGAGACTTGAATTTTGTCTAGAATGTTCTGGCAGATTTGTTTTTAAGATTTGAAAATCCAACTTATTTTTTAGGAATGGTGTTCGTATAATTTATTTTCCAACATGGTTATTTTTTTGAGAGAGAAACAGAAAGATAATAATTACATCAGTACAGCTGGTATAAAACAGGGATTTATCCCGGTATAATACTCAAGCAATGTATCTGGAATCTCAATTCCTAGTTGAATAAAAAACAAACAAACAAACAGAAACAAGAAACAAAACAAAACAAAACAAAACCTTTCTTTTGCATGAGATTTTGCCCTATGGTTATGTTCGGCTCATGGGTAAACCGCTCCCATTCATAGCCTAGACTCCTCATGGTTGTTATTAAAGATCTTGGCTAAACCTGACAAATTGAAAAACTATGAAGTTCTACTTGAAAACAAAGAGTTTTCAAATGGGGGATAAATTTGAAGTTAAGCAGTGCTTATCTTGTCAACAATAAAGATAGGACTCATTCCATTAATCTCATCAAAATATGTATATACCATATTTGTCATATACAAATTCACCTGCACATGTATGTATAGTATGTGTGTATAGACAGGTGATGACTGGGTAACCCTAATAAGAAACAGCCAGAATAAGGAGCGAGAGCTTTCCTGATTCTTCGAGTTCATCATCCTTTTTTTTTTTTTTTACTTCATTCAGCAATCAGTTTGCTTTCTGACTGGGATGGGATTGAGAGTACGAGAAGAGAATGAGAAACCCAAAACCTATTTCTTCCAAGGGAGAAGTCATTAAGGCAGCATTTTCACAACTGAGGCTCATGATACCCACTCACCTGCAGCAAACCTCTTTTTGATGAGTGAAAACCGATATCCTGCTCCAACGAGTTCGATGTCACAGCCAGAAAGAGTGCTTCCTTCACTGGTGAATTGTACAACCAACGGGGAAGGTTTACTTGGGCCTTCAGATAGCTGAAATCTTGCCAATAAAGAACCCACCCCTAAAAAAGTACAGTTATAACAGTCAAGACAATATTCTGGATATGGTTTTGGAAACTTATTTTAACTTTCACATTTCCAATCGAATTTGCTAAGAAATGCAGTACATGTTTGGGTGGCAAAATGGTGGTGAGTAAAAGTTAACATGGAAGCTGCACCTAGCAAAACTACAATTTGGCAAGAAATTATAAAACATTTGCGCCATGCTGCTTGGAAGACAACATTTTCCAATAAGTGATGTTACTGTCAGGGAAAAGTGAAGGTATCCAATCAGGGAACACGGGATCTGAGGTGAATGAAAACACACCATCAGAAAATTTTTGGTTATTTATTTATTTGAAAGGTAGAGATATGGAGACAGAGACCTTTTTCATTTGACGATTTATGCCCCAAAATATCTGAACCAGCATGAACTAGATAAGCCCAAAGCTGGGAGCTGAGAACTTTATCTGGCTCTCCCATGTGGGTGGCAGGGACCCAAATACTTGAGCCATCACCTTCTGCCTTCCACAGTGTACCCGAGCAGAGAGCTGGCATTCACAGCAGGCAGGCCCTGGAATGCGGGCAACCCAAGCAGCCACTGGACCACTGTGCCAACTCCCATCCCACAGACATGTGTAGTAAGAACAGTTCTATGTCCAAGAGGTGGTCTATTTGATGTGGGGATCTTGGTAAAAACTAACACGTGCAAAAATATTCTGTTAGTGCTTTCTGTGTTTTGATTAAACATTGGCTAATAGAGTATTTCAGCTTTATATATTCAATACATCTGTGATTATATTACCTCCATTTTCTGATTTTTGAGAGATATCAGGAATTTTCCACAATATTCTTTGTTGTTCAGCATTCCTAAAGATAAATGAAGCAAAAGGGTTTTGCTTAATGGGGTGTCGTATTTTTTCTGCATAGTATTACTTTTTAAGTCTGAATCTTGAAACGTTACAATTTTTAAAATTGATGCACACATTTGTAAGTTCTCTTATCTCTTACTGTACTCAGCTATAGCACTGCAAGATAAACACTTAGAACACAATTCAGATTAAAGAACACATCTGTTGGAATAATAGATGTGAAGTATATAGTTCAGGAGTTAATTCAAGCGGCTGTCATTTGGCCGAAATTTTTTTTTTAATGTTCTGTTTTCTTACTTCTGGCAGTCATAGGAAAGAACAATGGAATGTTCTTTCTAGAACAAGTTCTTTGTAGTAAGTGCTGTTGCCATTATCTAGTCAGTTTTTAAACCTGTAACTTTTTAAATGTGCCTTTGAATAGTTCTGGAGCTAGAGAACAAAACGCTAGGATCCTCAGATTCCCTTGCACAGTTAGGCTCCTGGCTACAAAATAGTTTCCACTAACACATGCACAGTTTGAGACACAGAAAGCAGCGACCATTCTCCTGTTTTCTCAGGGGTTTTCCTTTAGCTAGCAGCTTTATAAGATGTGAGGATTACATGGGCAGGGATCTAGTGATTTTCCAATCTGAGAGTGTTGAGAAGCTGTGAGGAGGTGCCACTAGGAGTTTTCTGATTCTTGGATCAGAGTTGCATGGTGGATTCTTGAACTCCATGGTTCCAATAGAAGTCTTGTAAATTCTCTGCTTCCACTTTAGGTGGTAGAGGTAGCAACTGCCCTAGCAGGCAGTTTTGCAATATTCTGGGAAATGTTCTTGGTGGTCCAGTCTCAATCCTGTTCTCCTAGCCCTTTTACCACTGTGCAAGCATTGACATGCCATGTTACATCATTTTTCTACTAAAAACAGAGACAACCATTTCTGTTTCCTCTGCCAATACTTAACTTACAGGCCTGTGATTTCTTCCTACAGGAGGCACTAGTTCTTTGGTAAGCAGAAAAGGGACTGGTGATTGCTTACCAGACTGCTGGTGGGAGCACGGCCTGGAGTTTGGTTACTCCACCATCTATGGGGACCAGAAACTGTACGTTGTTGAGGGCCACTGCGGTTGTCATTGCATCCATGTTGTACTTGTAATCTATGCGCAGGTCAGTGCTTGCAGGCTCACATCGCCAGTTCACTGCCAGATTCAGAGGTGTGGATTGAATGCCCTGGGCTGACACCTTGCCAAATGATAGGAATGAGAAGGTTTAAGGCTCAGCTGTTAAACTGAAACAAAACCAAAAGCTTTATTTCTCTCCCACACAAAAGATTGTAGATGTCTGAATGCCATAATGTTTGTGCTGCTCACAAGTGAGCACTCGGTGAAGATCACCATGAAGGTGGCCATGTGGAGAAACCAACTCTGGCCCCAGCACACTATCAAACCCTGTATTCTCATCAGAAGTTCTCAACTTAGAAATGGCTCCTCCCCCTGGAAAAGTGCGTTTGGGGTGTATGAAGGCATGATTTTGATGTTCCAGTGTCTGGGGTATGTTATTGGTTTCCAGAAACTAAGAATTTATTGCTTTTTGAGTTTTGGATGATAACCAATGAAATACTATTGTGATTTTTATTTTCATTTCAATTGCTAGCTAGTGGTCTCATACATTTTTTCATCTATCTATTGGCAATTTGTATTTCATCCTTTGAAAATTACCTGTTCATGCCTTTTATCCATTTCTTAACTGTATCTTTGTTTTGTTAAATTTCTTGAGCTGTTTATAGATCCTGGATATTAGTCTGATATCAGTTGTATACTTTGCAAATCTTTTCTCACACTCTATTGATTGTCTCTTCACTTTGATAATGGATTTACAGTGCAGAAGAAGCTTCTTACCTTCATGTAATCCATTTGAAATTTTTTTGCTTTAATTACCTATGTTCCTAAGGATCTTTTTCCCAAGAATTATTTGTCTATCTCCTGCAGAGTTTCTCCAATATTTTTTCTTTAGTAATATGATGATATCAGGTCATAGAGGTAGATCCTCAATCCATTTTGAGTTGATTTTTGTGTAAGTTGTAAGGTAGGAAGGGGTCTTGTTCATTTCTGCACACATAGACCCAATTTTTCACAGCATCATTTGTTGAAGGGCCATTCTCACTGAATATATTTCAATTTACTTGTCAAAAATTAGTTGGGTGCAGATATGTGAAACGATTTTTGGGATTTGTATTCTGTTCCATTGATCTGCATATCTAATTATGTGCCAGTTTGAGGCTGTTTTAATTATAATTGCTCTATAATAAGTATTGAAGTCTATTATGATAGCTCTAGCTTTGTTTTTGACAGCCAGCTCATCTGGGGCTAGTAGGGGATGTTGAATGCCTCAGCAGAGGATGGAAAGCAGAACAGCTCGGACAATTCTTCTGGCCAACTACTGGAGCATATTCTTGGGTCTGTGGATGCATTAAGGGGAACTTTGTCAATCAATAGATCTTAGACACAGTCTTCTCAATTCTGGAGCAATGAAACCAACAACTTCTCGCAACTATCAAAACCATTCAAATAAAACCCTCAGAACACTCTTTCTCATACTAGGGTCTCTAAGGCCTCATCAAATGACTGCCCCTCAAACTCAGGTGCTAATGTAATGATAGCAAGGAACAGCCCACCTCTCCTCACCTGTGGACACAAGAGAAAAAAGATGGAAACATTTTCCCCACTCGGTTTTCTCCATATCTAATTCTCCACACCCTAATCAGAGGCCCACGTGGGTTTGTGTCCCTCTCAATTATGTAAACAAACAATATTAAAAATAAAATTAAACAAAAAGATTGCTTTAGCTCTTGCATCTCCTGTGTTTCCTTATTGAATTTTAGCATCTTCTTTTTCCCGAGATCTGAATGGAATATTGTAGGTATTTTGACTGGGATCGCATTGAATCAATAAACTGCTTTTGGTAATATAGACAGTTTGATATTAATTCTACCAATTCACAACAATAGAAAAGTTTTCAATGTTTTGGTGTTTTCTCCTATTTCTTTCCTTGATGATTTTAATTTTATCTTAGAGATCCCTCATAACTTTGGTTAAATTTATTCTAAGGCATTACAATTTTTTATGACTATAGTGAATGACCCTGATTTTACAAGTTCTTTTTTAGCCACAGTATAGAAATGCTATTCATTTTTGTGCATTGATTTTAAACCCTGTTATTTTATCAAACTCTCTTGTGAGTTCCAGTAGTCTCTTTTTAAAATTTGATTTTGTTTTAGTTTAGTTTAGTTTTCGTGATGCTATTCCATAGGCTCAGGGATTTCCCTTTCACCCTCCCTATTTTCCCTTCCCAACTGATTTTCTCTAAGGTTTTGTAATAGTATGGTTCTTCAACAACAGTCAAAAGTCCACCATTCTGTTATTTAAGTGGTACCTGACATTGTAGATATAAGCCATGGTGGAAAGTCCAGCATCCTATTGTCAAGATATACTTAACGGTTTTTCTGGGAGTCCGTATTTTATTCAGAAGTAGAGATGCATACTGCAATGTGGCTGCATGTCTCAGTATGCTAGTGCAATAGTCTGTTAGTGGAGACTTTTTGTTTTGCTATATAGAGAATTGTGTCATGTGCAACAAAGGATGGCTTAGCATTCTTCTTTTTAAATTTCTTTTTCTTGCCTAATGGCTCTGCATAAAAGTTCTAGAGCTGTGTTGAATATTAATAGCAAGAATGGGCATCCCGGCTGGTTCTGACTCTTAAAAGAAAATGCTTTCCAATCTACAGTAGCAAAGACATGGAAATAAAGTAGATGCCCATCCAAAGAAGAACGGATAAAGAATCTGTACATCTACAGCACGGAATACTACTTAGCCATTAAAAAGAATGAAATTCTACCATTTTCAACCAAATGGTCCCAACTGCAGACCATTATGCTCAGTGAAACAAGTCAATCCAAAAAACAGAAAAAGATAGCATATGTTCTCTCTGATATAAGGCAACCTTTATGCAAAATACAAGATCAACAGCCCTTTCAATGCTGTTTTTGCTTCATCTCAGGTGGTTTGATATTTTTGTTTTTATTTTCATTCATTCAAAAAAGTTTTTGTTTTTCTTATTAATTTCTTCATTGACTCATGGGTCACACAATAGCACTGTTTGCTTCAGGAAGGTCTTTGATTTTCTTTTTCATTTCTTCAGTAACACATTGGACATTCAGTAGCATGTTATTTAATTTTATGTTGTAAATTCTCTAATTTTTCTCTCTGCTGTTGATTTCATTTTATGGTTTTTCATTTAAGGGGATGTATAGTAACTGTGTAGTAGAAACTATCACAGAAGTGAAGATACAGTGCAATGTGCATCTCTACTTCCAAATCAGGGATGAATTCCCAGTGAAACTGTTGAATGTATCTTGACAATAGGATGCTGGATTCTCTACAGTTGTTCATGCCTGCAATATCAGAACACACTTAAACAGCAGAATGATGGATTTATGACTGATTGTGAAGGACTATACTATTATAGTGACACGGGGGAAATCAGTAGTGGGGAGGCAGTGGAGATTTAGACAGGGAGTAAGGGGAAATATGGAACCTGTGAAATTATATCATGGAATAATAAAATAAATAAATAAATTTTAAAAGGATGTAGGACAAAAAAAAAGTACTTCTAACTTTCCTCCACCCAATATGAGGCTGCTATTCCTTTTTTTCATAAATTTCTTTAAGTTATGAAATTTTCATTCTATATCCAACTAGCATAAAGCTTTTTCTTTTTAAATCATGAAACGATGCTGCATTTTTATCAGATGCTTTCTTTCTGTGCATCCATTGAGGTATCATGGTTTCTTTGTTCAGCTTGCTAATGTAACATGTCATGTTTATTTATTTGTGTCTGTTGAACCATCCCTGCATACCAGGGATAAATCCCACTTGATGTTGGGGAATGAGCTTCCTGATACTTTGTTAGATTTGATCAGCTAGTATTTAATTAAGGATTTTTGCATCTATGTTAATCAAGGTCATAGTTGTATCTTTTTGTGTGTGTTTGGGATTAACATGCTGATGGGCTCATAGGATGAGTTTGAGAGGATTTCCTCCCTTTTACTTATTTCCTATATTTGAGCAGATTTGTAATTAGTTTCTTCCACTTTCAGTTTATGTGTATCTTTGTTGATAAATGTATTTCCTGTAGGCTGCAAATAGATGCATCTTGTTTTGCATTGTTTCAGGATGGTGGGTAACATTCTCTATTTCCGTGTGTAGCAGTTCCTCAAGCACCATTTATAAGATTGGATGGGTGGTGATAAAATTCTTTTAAGATTCTGTTTAAATTGGAAAGTATTTCACTTTCATTTATAATTGAGATCTTTGCTAGATACAATATTCTGTATTGGCAGTTTCTTTTATCGCCTGGAGTATGTCCTCCCTTATAGGGTTACTGATGACAAATTAGTTATTATTCTAATTCGGGACCTTCTGAAGTTAACATGCCATTTACCTTTTGCATGTTTTAGAGTCTTTATATTTTACAGTTGAAAGTTTGACTAGAATGTGTCATGGTGAAGATTATTTCTGAACCTGCCTGTTAGGAGTTCTATTGCTTCCTGTACTTGGATATTCCTTTCTCCACATTAGAGAAGTTTTCTGATTTTTTTTTTTTTTTTGGCTGCATAGTCCGTCTAATCTGTGATTTCTTTCTGCACCATCAGGAACTCTTAAAATATGTATGTTTGGTCACTTGATGGTATCACAAATCTTTTTGGTTTTTTAAAAATTTTTTGCTTTTATTTTTTTTAAGACTGATATATTGTCAAGGATTTGTTTTCTAACCCTATAGTTTATTTTTCTTTGTAAATGTTTTTTCTTTTTACCGGAAGGGCAAATTCACAGCGAGAAGGAAACAGAGAGAGGAATATCTTCTATCTGTTGGTTCACTCTTCCAGGTGGCTGCAATGGTCTGAGTTGAGCCGATCTGAAGTCAGGAGTCAGGAGCCAGGAGCTTCCTACAAGTTCATCATGCAGGAATAGGGTCCCAAGGTTTTGGCCCATTCTCCACAGCATTCCCAGACCACTAACAGGGAGCTGGATGGGAAGTAGAGAAGCTGGGATATGAACTGTTGCCCATATCGGATCCTGGTGCAGCAAGGTGAGGATTTAGCTGCTAGGCTATCATACCCGTCCCTCTATAGTCATTCTTTTGTCTCACCAACCCTGTTGTTGATTTTTATTACTGCATTTTCAATTTTGCATGTAGAATTATTTATTTCTAATATTTCTGTTTGATTTTTCTAAAACAATCTCAATCTCTTTGCAATTTTTTTCATCCATATCCTGTATGGATTTCTTTATCTCAATTATCTTTATTTCAGTGTTCTTTTGAATAATTCTGTGATTATCCTTCCATTTTTCTGAGGTATCTCACCAATCGCTTTGTCTTCATATTCAAATATTGAAGAATCATTGTGCTCCAATGTCTTTTCTTCCTTCCTTCCTTCCTTCCTTCCTTCCTTCCTTCCTTCCTTCCTTCCTTCCTTCCTTCCTTTCTTCCTTCCTCTCTCCCCCCCCCTTCCTTCCTTCCTTCTGTATTCCTGCATTTATTTTTAGGCATTTTTGGAAATACTTGTTTGTTTCCTCCTCTCAGGACTTTTATCTTTGATCTTTGATTTGATGCAGTGACTGCTCCTTCAGTGTGTGCTGAGTACGGCCAGTATACTCTCTTCCTTGTCTGAGTATGGGGTCAGAGTCCAGGGTGACACCCAAGTTGGGTGTGGTGGGTTTCCTCTTTTGTCAGCAAGGGGGAGATAAAGAGTATTGCTGTTAGCATAATCACAGCCTCATGACTTGACTTTCAGGGTGATCTAAACACAGGTTAGCCTGGGTTCCAGATAATGTCAGCTACTTATTAATGCTCTGCCTGGCATCTTGCTGCTCAGAGTCTCTAGATGGGTAGGGATGTATGCTTGCCTGCAAGTTCTACATGCATACACAGCCCTCTTCTAGGCCACTGGCTCAGATTCAAAGTTGCTTCAATAAAATCATCTGATCGTGAGGACGTACATTAAGCCTGGCACATTCTACAGCTTTAGCAGCTGATATAGCCTTTGCTGATCCTGGTGTGCTAGTCTTTTGCAGCTGATCTCTTCAAAATCATGCCTTCTCCTAGCTGGCCTGGGTGCTCCGTGGGGGATGGAAGAAAGAAGTGTACCTTTCCACCGCAATGATCTATTAGAACACTTCCCCCAGCCTTGGCTGCAGTCTGAGCCCGAAGTCAGTGTGGGCAATGAGATTCTATGTAAGGCAAGGACACCAGTGACTGGCTGCGGCAATCTGCTCCATTTCTCTCGAGACAGGCCATTTTCTTCTGTTCCTGGTATGTGGTGTCCCTGCCTACTGCTGTGTGATTATGCTGTTCACATTTCTCTGCGATGTCTCTGCTTTCTGCAGTATTTCCCCGGCAAATTTCTGTCCAACTCCTCCCTGGGAATGCACTTCTGCCTTGGTTTAGCTAGCTTCACCTACTCAAAATCATGGCATTTCCCTATTCAGCCATCTGGCCCACCTGTCCCTAATTGTTTAACAAATTATCTTACTTAAATTTTTAAAATAATTTTTCAGTTCCATAGGTTCAGGGACTGATTTTAAACTAATAAGGATATGTGTAAATATTTTTGTCACTAGTTCCCAACTGGTCTCTTAGAGCTTCCATTTTCAGTTTGCACATTATAGCTTTTAAATAATGTTAAAAGAAATACTAATTTTTATCAACTTTAATGTTAGATATTTAAAAGATTCATTGATACTGTGACACATCTTGACTAAATAAAGAGGCTTACCTGATATTTGAGCATGTCCACATTATAATATGTAGCCTGGGGTTTTTGTTCAGATACTTTCTTTAAGTGAGTCATCAAATTTGGCATATTTACCCAGAATTCCTTGGTATTGGCATCGCTTTGTGTGTTATCACTATTCAATTGGGAAGAAAAAAATGATTGAGAAGCATAACTAATACAAACTATGTAATCATCTAAGCAAATTTCTATCCGATTTCTGTATCCATCTTGATAATTTTCAAGAATTATACTATTAACAGTAATGTGATTTTAGTACATAGGAAATTCTGGATGGTATTATGTGAATGGATTCATATCTATTAGGGTCTATAAAAATTCTTTCAATAATGGTACATGAGAGAATTACCGTGTGTAAACATGAGAGATATCAAAGACTTGACTTGGCCACGACGGCCCTTTAAGGCCCTGAATAGCTTGTACAGGACTAGAGGCCATCCATCACTGCCTTAGCCCAATTGTTGAATATTGAGGGTATATAAGGTCCAGATTAATGGGATTTTTTAATTTATGTTTCTTGGTTTGTGGAAAATCATAATTAAAGGATCTATGTGATGCTTTGCCAAGCAAAATAATTTTTAACAGATTTATTTATTTATTTATTTGGGGGAGCCAAGAGCTTCTTCTGGATCTTCCATGGGGTAGCAGGGACCCCGAACACTTGGGCCACTATCTGCTGCTTTCCCAGGCCTTTAGCAGGGAATTGGATTAGAAGTGGAGCAGCCAGGACATGAATCCATACTCATCTACGATGCTAGTACATCACAGTGTCATTCCTCCAAACTAAGAAATTTTAAAAATATTTATTTATTTGAAAGCAAAGTGATACACAGAGAGAGGGATACACACAGAGACACAGGTATCTTTCATTGGCTGGCACTCCCCAAATGACCTTAGCAGCCAGATGAACTCAAGCTGAACTCATGAGCCAAGATATCTATCCTGGTCTCCCACGTGGATGATAGGGTTCTATATACTTGGGCCATACTCCATTGTCTTCCCAGGAACATTATCAGGAAGCCAGATTGGAAGTGGAGATGCTGGGACTTGGACAGGCAGTGATTTAACCCATGGTACTACAAAGCTAGTTGTAAGCAAAAGTGTTTTGTGTGATTCAATTACCCAAACCCATATATTATGCCACTTACAGAGTTCCTCGCACAGTGTAATTGCCGAAATATGTAACAAAAGATGTAATTATTACGTCTATAATATTCACAATTGGTAAGACATTGGCAAATAATGCTTAAATTTACATGCAAGAACCTTGAATATAGAATTAACAGGCTCAGCATGTCCATCAAAATCACAAAGGGAGGCCTTAATAAGAATTTGCTGATTTCTAATCTTGGTCAATGCATTTTTATTTTTCATCTTATTGGGTGATAATTTCCTTTTATACTTTTTAAAAAAGATTTATTTATTTTTATTGGAAATGTGGATACACAGAGAGGAGGAGAGACAGAGAGGAAGATCTTCCATTCAACAGTTCACTCCCCAAGTGGCCGCAATGGCTGGAGCTGAGCCAATCCAAAGCCAGGAGCCAGGAGTCAGAGCCATCTCCTGGTCTCCACACACAGGTTCAGGGCCCCAAGGATTTGGGCTGTCCTTGACTGCTTTCCCAGGCCACCAGCAGGGAGCTGGATGGGAAGCCGGGCCGCTGGGATTAGAACCAGCGCCCATACTGGAGTGCTAGTTCAAATCTGTGCTGCTCTGCTTCTCATGTATTTCCCTGCTAATTACCCTGGAAAGGCAGCAGAGGATGTTCCAAGGATTTGGATTACCAATCACAGTGAAACCTGAGTGGTGTTCTTGGCTCTGATTTTTGGCTTGACCAAGTCCTGACCATTGTGACCATCTGGGGACTGAGCCAGTGGATTTTGGATATCCGCCCCCTGCTCTGTTTCTCCCTTTCTTTTTGTCATTTTGCCTTTTGGATAAATTAAAAAAACCTTTAAAAAAATGTCTAGATAGTCATAAAATGAGTGAGAGTATTGGTGACCAGATTCCAAATGACAACAAGCTTCACTTATTTTTACATAGATGTTGGCTTGGTTAAATTCTTTATTATTGAGGTTTTCATTTATTCGATTAGTATTTTTACTACTGCTACTACGACATCGTTTAGCTTGGTTGGTGGGTGGCTGATGTGTTGTACATTGGGCTAGTCAGTGGAGGCAGAGTTGAACTGAGGTCTAAAGATCAGGAAGAGTCAGAACAACAGGCCTAAAGACCTGAAGACCTGAAGAGGGAAGCCCTGCTGAACCAGGTTCTGAGATTGACAGGTGTGGTTGCAGCTGCAGGCCTCTGAGGCAGGGCTAGGAGAGATGAGAACAGAGAGACAAGTGGAGTAGAGGACTCAGGCTCCCAGAAGCAATGGTAATGCCTTCAGATTCTCAGACAAGGTAAATATGGGCACACTAGAAGATTATGAGCAAAGGCAATCTCATTTACCTGGTCACATGGTTGTAAATACAATGGAACAAGGCAAGATTGGATTCAGAGGACAGAGAAAAGGGAAGCAGATGCAATGGAAACACAGACCAACGAGTTGCATGAAAGGCAAAATATGAATACTTAGAAAAATTTCTGGCAGGGTATAGGCATTTGGTGATGGAGAGGGAGATGTCAAAAATGATTCCTTGAGTCTCATCCACTGCGAGCAATTAACCAGCTATCATTTGCTCTTTAGTAGCTTGCATGTATGTGCATGTTTGTGTGACTGCATGTGTGTGTGTACGCACAAGACATTATATTCAGCCTCAATCATTAGAAAATGTGAGAGTGTGTTTATGTAAACAAATTCACCTAAGCTTTTTTGATGACATGCATGCAACATTCTTTCCAATTACCATTACAATGAGACTATATGTTTTTCACATTTTCAACCTGATACTAAGTAACTTATTGTTCAAATCTCATTTGATTTATAATGACACCGATAAAGCATAAATATTTGGCTCTGATATTGGTGTCATGGTCAGCATCTTCCTCCATTGTCCACTGTTAATAACAGAAGATCTACACACTGTCACTTACACAGATTTTATTAACGTAAACAACCTAAGTATGGTTGTTAAAATACATGTGACTACAATTAACCTAACAGTAGTTAGACATAGATAAAGACATATGCAGTTACATATAAATAGCATCACCCACAGAAAACTTGGACAGCTGATGAAAGCTCTGTGTTTGAACCCATAGGTATAACCCAGTATTGATATATTTTCCACATTGGTACTATCTAGGTAAGCTTATTAGTCATTTAAAAACAAAGAGGTAATAAAAAGTTGGGCAAAGCATATTTACCAGCAGAGAAGTTGGGGATTTGGCAGGACATGTTCTAACCTGCTGAAGTTTACCACCCGAAAGGTCAGAGCTGCTGGGGACGGGTTGTTGGCGAAGTGTCTGGTGATGCCGGCAGGGAAGGACAGCACCATCTCTCCAGTTATCTTAACGATACACCTGCACAAAACACAGGACAACAAAGAGAGGAAACAAACTGAGGTCAATGTGCTACACATTAGAACGGTTGAGAAACGGACAGATTTATGCTCGATTGTCCCTGGTAGCAGTGATGAAAAGCTAGCTGGTAACATTCCATTCCCATTTAAACTTATCTGAGAACTCAATTGTTTAACATTTATCTGAAAGAAAATGTAGCTTTTTCACGGCACATGTTTGGAGTTGTAAGGAATGTGCAACTTTCTCCTGCAGTGAAGTCCAAAGAATCACCTCATAAACAGTTATTCACTCTCATGGTATAACCTGAGCAGTGTATTTGAAGATATTAAATTTGTGCAATGCTATCACAACATACTTGAACGCGTGTTAGATTCTTGAATAGCATGAATAATACCTTGAGTGTGGCTTTTTAAAACTCACGAGAAACTTCTTTCTTCTTGCTTAGCTGGTTATTTTATTAACAGTTTGGTGAAAATTATAAAATCAGTCATTCTATTTCATTTCTAATGAAAACAACAGGATGGTACTTCGTAGCAAAAAATTTAACAAGGATTTATATAGTTATAATTGGTGTCCCTGAAGCTACATTTATAAAATGTATAAAATTCCATAAGATTATGTGATGTGAAATATAAGCAGACAGTGAACATTTTTATAGTCTTTAAAAGTTTTATTCATGCTTTGTAGCATGTCTGCTTTGCTATCTTTCATATTCTTTTTTTTAATTATTATCATTTTATGATACAGTTGCATGGATCATGGAATTTTCCTTATCCCCTCCCCAATTCCCTTCCCCATCTCTGAGTTCCCCTATATCATTACTATAGTCTAGTTCTTGATACACAATCATATGTCCATCATTGTGGGCATGAACAATGGCACAGAGTCCAGCATCCTATTGTCAAGATATAGTTAACAGTGTTACTGGGAGTCCATCTTTGGTCTGGAAGTAGAGATGCATACTGCATAATATCCTCATATCTGGATATGATAGTCTCCATTACACAGTTACTATATATCCCCTTAAATGAAAAGCCACAATACAACATCAACAACAGGAAGAAAATTTATAATGCCATGAAGTTAAATAACATGCTATTGAATGACTAATGTGTCACTGAAGATAGAATATCAAGGACCTTCTTGAAGAAATGTTAATGTATGATCTATGAGTCATTTAAAAATTTAATCAGAAGAAAGTGTTTTGAAGAGATGAAAACAACACAAAAAAATCCATGAGATATAGTTTTCACTGATCTTTGTTGGTGACATATGTCTCCTGTAGGCAACAAATAGATGGGTTTTGTTTTTAATCCAGCCTACTAATCTATGGCATTTGTTTGATGAGCTTAGGCCATTCATATTCAGGGTTAATACAAATAGGAGGTAATCTGGCCTGTCATTTTAGCAATGGGTTGTTCACTGATTTAGTCTTCTGTTGTCTTTTTACTGGGATGTCCTTCATATTTGCCTTTAGTTTTGTTGGGTGCTATTCCTCTTCTCTGTCAAAAGAACATCTTTAAGCATCACATGTAGGGCAGGTTTGGAAGAGGCATATTCTTTTAACTTTACTTTGGAAGAATTCTATTTCATTTTCAAAGACAAAGAAAAGTTTTGTTGCATATGTTATCCTGGGCCGACAATTTTTTTGCTTTTAGAATCTGGAATATGTTGTTCCATTCTCTTTTTGCCTGTGAGTTTACTTGGTATTCCTTTATATGTCAGTTGATTTTTTTCACATGCACATTTCAGGACCTTTTCCTTATGCTGGATTGAAGAGAGCTTGATTATCATGTGTCATGGTGAAGATCGCTTTTGGTCAAGCCTGTTGGGAGTTCTGTGACCCTCCTGGATGTTGTTTCCCAATTCTTTCTCTAGATTAGGGAAATTTTCCCTTATTATTTTATTAAATACATTTCTAAACCCAGCTTCTCTTTCTGCACCTTCTGCCAACTCCCATAACTCTTATGTTTGGCCTTTTAATAGTGTCTTTCAATTCTTGTATACTTTTTTTGACCTGATCCAGCCCTGCTTTCAGCTTTTGTTTATTTTGCCCTGGTGACAGGAAATATCTTCCAATCCTGAGATTCTTTCTTCTGCCGTTTTCATTCTACTTTGGAGACTCTTCACTGTACTCTAATTTGCTCTACTGTTTTCTTCATTTCTGATATATCAGCATTCATTTGATTCATTTTCAGTGTGACATTTTCCTTAAATTCCTTGAATGCCTGCTTTACATGCTCCTCATTGTTGACAAGAAGTTTTATAATAAGTGTTTTGAATTCTGTATCCCCCATTTTCTTGATGTCTTCCTCAGTGAACTCTGAGGTTGGCAAAGAGTTTTGCTCCTTTGCAGGAGAGTCTTCAGTAATATTCATTGTGCCTGTGTCTCTTCTTTTGCTCTTGGTCATTGTACTTCTGGTTAGCAGATTCTTCTCCTTGGGGCACACCGTATAACCCACAAGTCTACAGTTTGATTTTACTTATTACAGTTAGTCCATGGCTCTTTGTTTGCAGTCAGTTGTACCACGCCCTCCAAGGAGTTCCAGGTCTGGGTTCTTATGTTAGATTTCCACAAAGAACTCTGTAGCCCCAACTCCTGGCTCACCAGTCTCTACCTCCTGTGATTCTGTGTGGAGGCTGCACCATTGTCTGTACAACCTTTTTCCCACTTCTGGTTGGAGTAGATCCCAGGATTAGGGAGACCCAGGTGTCCTATATAGCTAGGTTTTTGTTGGTGCTGATCTTGCCAGAGCCTGTTGGCTGTTAGGTCTGAGGGCCACATGGACCTATTTTGACCTGTACAATGCCATAGTTGGTATTATTTTCCTGTGGGAAATGCACTGTGCATGTGCACATGCAATGCACTGTGCATGTGCAGCTCACTGTTGTCCCCTACTGCCTTAAATTCTTTGACACACTGTACAAAATGGCACCTGCTGTGCCACGACTAGAGTTCTTGATCTGCTGGCCATCAGATCTGAGGGCTACCTGCACCTCCTTTGGGTAGAACCTGTAAGATGCCATGTTGTTGCAGTTCACTGAATCAGAAATGAATTCACTCCCAGCTCTGTGCATGCTCTATAGCCCTTGCCTCCTTAAACAAAATGATGCCCAATACGGCTCTAGGAGGCAGACTGGGCTATGAAATCCACCCTGCTCCTGCACTGCCTGTCTGGGATCTGCTGCTCCATCTCTGCTCCTGGTCAAATCAAACAGACCAGCAGGACGGGCAGTTCTTTGTCTGGGTTCACTACTTGAGCTCCCAGTAAATGTCCTTCCCACCTGGTTGCTGGTGGAGTTCTGGCTGCCGTGGAGTTCAGATCATTGTTTGCTGAATGCCACTGGGGTATCAGTAATTGCAACACCACACCATTGTGTCTGCTACTTTCATGTGTCTGTCAGTCTCCAGGTGCCCCTCTGCTGTCATTCTGTTCTTTTCTATTTCCTGGAATGTGCCCTCTCTGCTTCATACTGGCTAAATTTCTCCATCTGGTTAAACGTGTCCTTATCCTATTCTGCCATCTTGATTCACTCATACTCTTTATTTCTTTGTCCGAGGCAATTGATGATATTCTCTCTGCCACATTACATTAATTATTAAATTACAGCTATATGGGGGTGTCTTGCCTCTGTTTTGGGGAGTCAGGCTTCTTTCATTTTAGGTGTTTATTTTTAAATCCTTCCATGCAATAGTATATAACAGCTCATTCCTTTCTGTTGTCATGTTTCACCTAGGGTAGGAGTTTGGAGAAGCAGTTTAGGACAGCTTGGGATGCCCATAGCCCACACCGCAGTGCCTGGGATCTGCTCCCACCTCCTCCCACCTCTCTTTATGTCCGGTGTTCTGCGAATGTGCACTTCGGGAAGGCAGCAAGTGATTGAGCATTTACTCAAATCCCTCCTACCCGCATGGGAGACTCACACTGAGCTCCAGGTTTCTGGCTCTGCCCTTCCCTGGCCATGGTGATTTCCAGCACTTCGGGAGGGCTCTGTACATACCTTCTCTCTCCCTCTGTCTTTCAAAATGAACAAAAACCAATTTGCAAATTTAAAATACATTCACCTGCTGAGAATATTTTAAGTCCTTTGTATGTTTTTGCCTTTAGCAAGTAAATGTGTAATGAGTATGTATACACACATAAGTACAGTCATGTAAGCACACAGGTGTGGGAGTACTGGATCACACTGAAGTAACTTCTAAGAAAACTGTCCAACCATTTCCTAAACTGAAGAATACAGCTTCTATAACAATGTCAAATCTCTCCGCCTTTACCGACACTCAGTGGAATCTGCCCCTTTAATTTTAGTCATTCTAACAGGTAACAGCAACATTTCATTGTTTTAATTTTGTGTTTCTGAAATGGCTAATGATCTTCAACATATTTTCCTGTGCTTATTTGTCACTTGTCTACTTTTTAGGGAAACTGAGAGGATTAATAGTCTCTCTGGTTTTCATTTTTTCTTTAGCACCAGGCACGGAGCCGAGTTTTGTCAATAGAGGGCGCTGGAGAGATCTTGGGGGCAAGAGGGATTTCTCCGCGGTAAGCTTGCTGTGCAAACCCCTGAAATGCACAGGCCCCTGTAGCCTGAGACTGTGGTAGTGCATGCTTGCAACTCATTCCCTTACAGATTTTTGTCCATTTTGAGCTATTTTAGGTGGGAAGGTAAATTGGCCAGCAGTGCACCGTGACTAGAGGCAAGAATTTCCAAAGCCTTACTCTTTCTTGGCACTTGCAAGTACAGCTATATTTAACCCTCTGTGTATGTAGATTCAATCTACTAAGAGCAGAAAATAGATGAAAAATAACTTTGTTCTGTACTAAACACGTACAGATTTTTCCTGCCATTATTCCCTGTGTACACAGTATGACAGTCATTGACCAACCATTTACAGGATATTAGCCCCTGCACTACAGTGTATTACAAGTAGTCTAGAGGGGACATCACAATATATAGGAAGATGTGTATATGTTACACCCATATATAAATACGATGTC